CCTTATAATAACATGGAAGAACAAGGGCTTCGAGTCTTTATTAATTGCTACTACTGTAATTTTACAAGGAGCTATTTAGGAAATTCTAATTTTTGTTACCATAGGAATGAAGCTGTAGGATCCAGCAGAAGAACAATTTAAACAGCAATGTTTAAGTAATTAACTTCAACTTTAATTCTCCGCTCCATCCAAGCTCCTCTTGGGCATAAAGAAAAAGACTTTAAAAGCTCTCTCCTCCTCAGTGCCACTTGACTCTAGCCCAGATTAGGAGGTACAGCCCTGTTATCTATAGTAGGGCTTAGCAATCTACCTTCCCACCCACAGAGTATTTCCTCCTCTTCCCGAGTGAAGCAGCTGCAAAATCCTCCTTGGTTCAGGCAGAGCTCCTCACCTGCTTTTTTTCAGTTAGTTTAAAGCAACGTTTATGCAACTTTAATACATTAAGAACTGGGTGAATGGAGGAGCATCTAGTTCACAGGTTGGGATGCTCATATCTGATGAGTTTGCCCATTACTCAGTGTAACTACATAGGGCCACTCTTGTGTGCCCCTTTCTGAGTTGATTTGCTCCTTTTTTTCTATTTGAAAGGTTTAGGTCTACATTAAGTAAAAAACCAAACCAGGTCAGGTAATCAATAAGCCATTCTGCTGGCCTTCCCCAGCAGGCAGGAGGAGACAAGGCAAGGAAGGAGAACAGTGAAAACCTGACACTCACACTTGCCATTGGCTCCTGTTTGTTTTTTAAACCTTTGAACTGTGGAAACTTATAAGCAGCAAGAAAGTGAAGAAAAGTTTTATCTTCCTTGGCTTTAACTCTTTTGAGATCCTATTATTACTACTCAGATTTGTGAACAGTGTTCACCTCATGTCTGAAAGAGTCTTGGAAGGGACTACTTTGCAGAACAAGGAATCTTGCACCCCTTTAAACAGATGTCTAGCATTGATGAGATTAGGATGTTCCTCAGCTCTCAGTAATGGTAACAGGTCTAATGACCTTCATAGTGTAGGAGGGACAGCTTTAATCCTCCACATGTCCTGAAGTACAACACTTCTTTCTTCATAGATGCTTTGACTCACTCATCCAAAGTCTCAGTCAGGAAGTGGAAGAAGAGCTGTGTCTGTAACTCCACAGACGCTGTCAGGTGGTGAAGCCACTTAGAGATTAAGGACCTAATTCCTGGCTCTTCCTCAGCAAACGAAGATAAGCCAAGAAAGCAAGCCAGTGACCATATTTTGGCATGATTTTCTGGCAATTATAGTGGCCTTATTTATCACCCAACATCTCCTTTTCATTGCACATATCTGGTGTGCTCCAGCATTCTGCCTCATGTTCTTGCTTCCAGAGTCTGGCTTATCTTTCAGCTGTCTGGCCAAGTCTGTTCCAGTAAGCTATGGTCACAGGATCCTGCCTCAACAATGCATTACAAACTGGTCACAGGAATAGGGAACTACACAGTTACACCAAAAAAAAAAAAAAAAAAAAAGAGAGTATCAACACTAATCTAGCAGGGTATTATCAATCAGACCCAGCTATCTGGAGATTACTTTGTGTCCAGTTCTGCTTTTAGCACTTTCATAGCTCCCACTACTGTTACTGTTGGCTACAGGCAAATAGGTATTTTCAGACACCACCCCCCTCACACACACACACACAGATACACAGACACACTTATTTCTCTGGAGTTGCCTGAGCTGTTGAAACTGGATCCTTTTATGGGAATGTACAAGAGGGGTTTTCATAAGCAAGCTGGAGAATCTGGGAGGCACAGCTGGCGCTCTGTCGAGGTAGCTGATAGTGCTCCACCCCCTTAAATTCACCTTGTTGTTCTTGCCCACTTATTTGTGCCTTCATTTCCACACAGATTCACATCCGTGGTCACAGTCAAAAGAGGGGACCTTAGTCATATTTTATGTAATATTTCCTTGCATGTCAAGTGGAAAAAAAAGGAAAGAGGAGGAGGATTCTGAAGGACTAGGATGTTTTTAATGGCTTTTCATTTCTTTTATCTCCCACCCGGTTCCAGGACCACAGGAAAACATTTTTACCACAAAATCCTAGTATATTGAAATCTACAAAAAGGATGCAACAGGTAAAAAAAGGCTCTTGTTGATCCTATGCTGGTGTAGTACTTTAACTGAGCACTTAACAGGTAGTTTTGTAGTTTTTAAAGACAAGTTCTCAAACTATTAGGAATACCAGGGTAAGGGGACTCTTTTTTAGTGTTTCAAGTTTCCTGCAAATACTTCAGCATTCTTTTGCATTATTTTCAATCCAGTCAAAAGACTGGACAACCACAGAAACCATCAACTAAATGTAAGATAAACCAAAAGGAGAACCACTGAAGTTATTTACAAAACTTAGACATGACAGTGAAATACAAATACAAAAGAGGGGTGGGGTGAACACAGCAGGGAAAAAGGAATAGTTTAAATTTATCCCAGTATATTATCAGAATTCCCTCAGGTATTCTATTCAAAAAGGTAGAATTTAATCTGCATTGTCTTTGAATAAGTAATTTAGTCTCCAAGAAGTTCTGCCTCACATACGCCTTTTTTCGTGAAGGCGGACAGAGCTACTTCACTGACAGTGTTCTGGTAAAATACCTTCTGGGTAAACGTGCTTTTATAAACAACCCATTCTGGAGTTAGTGAAACAATAATACATTTATGGGACAGAATCTTGGCATGTCTAATATAAAGTCACTTTGGGGAACTGGAGATGGTTGATAGCAGCTGAGTCTAGCCTAATGCTCTTACCAGTACATCATTATCTCCTGGCTTCTCTTGTGCAGACTTTTTCCTAGAATAAACAGTATCTTACAGTTCCCAAACTGGCACAGGAGCATTATTAGACTAAGTCTCCTTATTTCCTCATCCCTGTGGGGCAAGGATATGTTAGAGTGGTCATGGAGCTGTCAAGTTAATGCAACACCACCGAAATACCTGAGGGAGCTTGCAACTCTCATATTACACTCCTTATCTCGTCGAAGGAAAGGCTGTCTGTAGAAATGGATTTTTAACATTTATGCCTCCCCCTTGTGTTTCTACCATATGAACTCACCAGACTATGTTTATTTCTCAAAAGATCTCTACAAATCCAAACTTAACACATCGTATTTTCTTGGCTTCCTGGTAAATACGTAAAACCAGGAGAGCACTGAGAACAAAAATTCTTTGAGTTGTTGAGTCTAAAATTCCTGTGGAAATCAACCAGAATTACAACTATTACAGAAGTAATGTGATATTTAAAAAAGGATCTGATCTTAGGGGAGAGGGACCATAATATAAATGCTTTCATCTAGCACAAGCTATGAAGAGATAAACTGAATATTATTAATTCTGTTCCACTGGAAAAGAGGAATGTTGCCACTTACTTCATGAGAACTGGGTTTGATTTGGGTTGGGAAGTTTGTTTGTTGCTGGGCTTTTTCTTAAAAAGTGATAAAAGTATTTTTATTCTGGAGAACCTGGAGAAAATAGCATAAGAGGCCAGGAAGAGAGAATTCCTGGCCTCATCCTGACTGCCCTAACAAGAATAAGATCACAGATATCCTTTTGTACAAAGAGTTTGTCTGCACAGAGGGAGGAAAAAGTTGCCTGTTGACAAGCAGAAGAAAAAAGCAGAAGACAAACATACCTGACTTGCCCACACCAGCCCGACCAAAGATCGCCAACTTCACTTCTGCACTCTTAGCCATGCTGGAAGGAATGGGGTGGTGGCAAACTCACTCAGTTATCAAAAGTGAAGCAGAAGAACTGTTCCCAGCTCCTGTGTTTGGCTTCACTGTGTCATTGTGACGTCAATGCAGAGCCTGGGGAAGAATACCACAAGGATGGAACTGCAAGGAGCCAGGCTCTCCCTTTCCCCCGCCCCCTTCCCTTTTCGCTTTTTTTAAATAGTCACGATAATCGATGCTCCGTTCCTGCTTTAAACATTGCAGTAACACCACTGACATATTTGGCACTGTTTGTGCAAAACCTACCTTCAGCTTTCTGGCTACTGCTGTTTGCTTCATGCTGGCACTGTAATATTGCAAAAGGTACTCAACAAGGCAGAGTGCCTGCCTTACAAGGCTCCTTATTCTTTCTTTCAGTTGCAATTGCATATATTTACTGTATTTGACTCAACTGCAATGAATTACTTTTTGTAGAATATTATTTAATAGCTGTGAGCGCTCACCAGTAGCTCCTGCAGATAGCTAATCTTTCCCTGAGCCCTCCAGTTCCGAAAAAGGTTTCCATTACTCAGCTGCAGTTGCTTAAAAACCTCTAAGCACTCGTACCTTGCCCATTGTACTAAGCAAATCTGTACCCAGGAAGTTCACTAGTGCTCACACATAAATGTTCAGCAAAGCACGGGGTTAGCGAAAGAATGCCAGAATTGCTGGTAATGTACCTTTAACAGGCTGTATGGGAATTATCTATGTTCACAGTTTCGCTGCATTACTTTGAGCAAGTCACCTGACACATCTCTTTGATTTGATTTCTCCAATCTGGACAGTAAAATACATAACCATACGTGTCACTGTAGAACGTTTTAAGATCTTGAGGGAAAAAATGGCAACTCAGATGATGATGATGACCCTCAGCTCTGACTTAAACATCAAAAATTCACTCTACTTTTAAAACAGGGTAGAACTTTACCTGTGAATGCAACGTGTTGTGAAGGTTTGCTGCTGTGCTGAAGTACCCACTTTAGCCATAAATTCTAACAGTGACGTAGGAAGCTCACTATGTCAGCATTACCTGCTCTACAGCAAAACACATTTCAAACATGTTTCTTGAAATAAAAGCCTGAGGCTTTTTCCTATTCAAAAAAAAAAAAAAAAAAAAAGCTTGCAAAAAGAAAGAGTAAAGACACTTTACATCGAGAAGGGTCCGGATTCATGTCTGACGTCGTAGCGCTCCTGATTCCTTTTGCCTAAGCCTAATTATCAGATCACTCTCACTCTGCATGGACAGTTAGAAGCACGAACTGTTTCAGGACGCAGCGGGATGGGCGGAGGGGACAGAGAGAGAAGAACACCGGTGTTTGCCGCCTCCCGTCGCCCGCCGGTCCCTGACCCCGCACCGCCGCCTGCGGCACGAGCTGCTGCCCCGCAGGTCTGTTTTACACGTCTGTGCAGATATTGACTCATCACCGCCTGCCCCGTAACTCCGGGCGGTCCCGGCAGGTGCCGCCCGCCCGGCGCAGGGCGGCTCCCGCGGCTGCGGCCACCGGCGCTGCCCGGCTCCGCCACCCCTGCGGGCACCGCGCCCCCCCGGCGCCGCATCTGCCCGCTTCACGGTACCCTCTCCTCACGCCCCTCCACCACCTCCCGGCTCCTCCCTTCTCCCCGCACCCGCGGAAAAGCCCCCGCCCGGCGCTCACCTCTTTGCGCGCTGCCGGCAGCGCGGAGGGGCCGCTCTCGGCGGTGCCCCCGGCGCGGCGCTCGGCGAGGGAGGCACGGCCCGGCCCCGGCCCCGGCCCCGG